ACAACTCGATTTCTAGTTACTACTTCATTGAATTACGAACGACAATGCTCCAAATTAACCGTGACACCACTAGTTAACTCTCAGATTTTCCTTGTTTTATTGGATTGGATGACATCATTCGACAACCCAAAACATTCTTCTAAAGTTCCCTACATGACATCATAATAGAGATACAATCAAAGATCATTACGTTTAATGAAAATCATAAGCATTGACAAAGTACTTGCAACTATGACATCATGTCACTCATGCTAGGAATTGAACTTAACACGATAGTTTATAAGCGACCTTCACTACATGTGAATATAACTTTGTAACGATTATGTGAAACTTCCTTATATTCTAGAAACGAATTTATGCATGCCAATTAAGTGTCGACCCTTAATTAACAAATACAAATAAGTTATCAATCAAATAGTTAAGCCAATTGCATTCACAATTCAAGAGTTCATAACTGGAATTTATCAAATTATATTGCACACATAATCATGGCTTTGAAATCACCCCTAGCCAAGAGGGGTTTAGCCACTCATATTTACAACAAAACGAAAGGAAATGAATTTAAACATTAGAAACAAAAGAAAAAACACCTAAACGCTTCAACGATCCAAGTTGGACAGCAAGCACGTACAAGCACTTTCCTTCCCTTCCTTTGCTACGGCACAAGGTGTTGGTGAGTGTTTGAAGGTGTTTGAAGGTTTGTTTGTATGGAGGAATGGATGTGAAGATGAATGGATGTGTTTGGATGAACGTTGTGTTGAAATGGGAGTGAATGATCTAACCAAGTATGAACTAAATTTATGTTACACACACTTCCTTTTATAGAGGAAGTGCATGGCAATGGAGGGGAACATGGAGTGGTGTAGCAATTGAGTGCAATGATGCAATGTAATGATGCATGAAATCTGAAATGATAGAGGGAACAAGGAATTGAGTGCAATGATTTAATGTAATGATGCATGAAATCTGAAATGATGGAGGGAACAAGGAATGGTGTAGCAATTGAGTGCAATGATTCAATGTAATGATGCATGAATCTGAAATGATGGAGGGAACAAGGAATGGTGTAGCAATTAAGTGCAATGATTCAATGTAATGATGCATGAATCTGAAATGATGGAGGGGACAAGAATGATTATGCATGGCATGGGTGGAAAGGTGAGTAAGTGGTGAATCAATGAGTGCAATGAGGTGAAAGAATATTGTACACATGGTAGACAAAGGAAAGGAAGTGGAATGATACAACAAATGAGTCAATGGAGGGAACATGGATGATGATGCACGACATAGGAATCCAAAGGGAATGCAATGGTGGTGCACAACAATGATGGAAAGGTGAATTGTGGAGTGACACCCTTTTGTGGCTGAGCTCTCTGTCCTTTTTACATTAATTCTTCTTTCTCTTTAACACATTCCTAGCCTCTTTAGTCTTCAATTTCGTCCATCCACCTTGCTCCATGCATGTGCTATTCATTCCAAGCCCAAAACTGCACCAAAATGCATCTTATTGCTTTATAAGGCCTATGGACCTACAAGCACATGAAAAATAGCTTAAAATACATAATTAACTAAGAAATAACAACATAATGCATGAGAACAAGCTAACTCAGACGCATAAATATGCTCCTATCAAGCCTCGACCACGCCCTAACGGTTTTGTTTCTGGGAACTCACGCTATCAGAACTTCCCAGTAGACACTTCCGGCTAGGAATTGGCTCTCGTACCAAATTGTCACAGCCTAGCCCCGCCTCCGTCGTAGCACAATATTGTTCGCTTTAAGCCCCGACCACACCCTAACGGTTTTGTTTCTGGGAACTCACGCAAGCAAAACTTCTCAATGGGTCACCCATCCTGGGAATGCTCTGGCCCATTTCTCGCTTAACTTCGGAGTTCCTACGGAACCCGAAGCCAATGAGCTCCCAAAATGCCTCGTGCTAGGAAGAGATGGGAATATACATATAAGGCATAGAGGATTCACTTCCCTGAGCGATGTGGGATCTAACAATTGTCACATCCGACCCAGGCTCCACCACATCCCAGGCTTGACTTCGCCATAGAACAGTATTGTCCACTTTGGACCCCAACCACGCCCTCACGGTTTTGTTTCTAGGAACTCACGCAAGCAAAACTTCACAGTGGGTAACCCATCCTGGGAATGCTCTAACCCCTTTCTTGCTTAACTTCGGAGTTCCTACGGAACCTAAAGCCAGTGAACTCCCAAAAGGCCTCGTGCTAGGAAGAGATGAGAATATACATATAAGGCATAGATGATCCATTCCCCTGGGTGATGTGGGATCTAACAATTGTCACATCCCGACTCGAGCTCGACTCTGCCGTAGCATGATATTATCCGCTTTGGGCCCCGACCACGCCCTCACAGTTTTGTTTCTGGGAACTCACGTAAGCAGAACTTCCAAGTGGGTCACCTATCCTGGGAATGCTCTAGCCTCTTTTCTCACTTAACTTCGGAGTTCCTACAGAACCCAAAGCCAGTGAGATCCCAAAAGGCCTCGTGCTAAGAAGAGATGAGAATATACATATAAGGCATAGAGGATCCACTTCCCTGTGCGATGTGGGATCTAACAATCCACCCCCTTAGGGGCCTGATGTCCTCGTCGGCACATTTCCGGCCAGGAATTAGCTCTGATACCAAATTGTCACAGCCTGGCCCCACATCCGCCGCATCCCAGGCTCGACTCCACCTTAGCACAATATTGTCCTCTTTGGGCCCCGACCACGCCCTCACGGTTTTGTTTCTGGGAACTCACGCAAGTAGAAATTCTCAATGGGTCAGTCATCCGAGGAATGCTCTAGCCTCTTTCTCACTTAACTTTGGAGTTCCTACGAAACCTGAAGCCAATGAGCTCCCAAAATGCCTCGTACTAGGAAGATATGAGAATATACATATAAGACATAGAGGATCCACTCCCTTGAACGATGTGGGATCCAACAATAATTATGAAAATTTTAAATATAAAAAAATGATAAAAATTATATTTAAGACTTACCACGTGGCAAGTTTTGAGTAGGTTGTAATGTCAATCAACGAAGTCCAGTAACAAATCAAGCCCCACGCAAAATTTTCTCTGAAAACGGAGGAGGTCATGAGTAAAACCAAAAACCACGTACGGCTTCGTTGTCGCAGAAAATTGCCATAACAAATAAGGCGCAGAAAAACACGTGATTAGCAAATGGAATTTATATAAGATTTGGCTTATATTTAGTCTTTTTTGTCATTTTGGATGGAAGTTTATATGCTAATGCAAAATCTAGCATTGTTAGAGAGCTACAGAAAATCATTGGATTCACTTCAAATTTGGACCACCACATCATTACAAACCCTAGCCATGTCCTTAAACATCAAACTATGCATTAAAAAATAAATATTGCTATTGCCAGTGTCAAATAACAAAGAAATTTTTTCAGTATGCCGGGAACAAGATGCGGTACACTAAGTGTCATAATACAATTGATTGGAATTTTTTTATTTTTTTTATGTTTTCAACTAATTATATTACTATATTTAGTGTAACGAACTGCATTCCCAACACAATGAAAATTCTTCACCAATAAAGACTATTTGTCTCAAGTAACATGGACCCCTTAATTTTTTTTTTTTTTTTCATTTCTATTTGTTAATCTGGGTCAATGCAAAATCGCACATTTCACAACCACTGTAAGTGCTAAAATAGAAACCCAACGGTCTTTGTTTCATTCATTTCAATCACTTTCCATCCCTCCTACAACCACCACCCAAATCCACTTGTTTACATAGTGAGTGAGAAGACTTCTTTTTCTTTTTTTTTGTCAAAGAGTGAGAAGACTTTTACCCCAATAAATTCCTAAGTAATACATTATTATCACACTATTGTTTCTCTTTGTTCACTACCCTGCCTATTTCTATATCATAATTTTGCTTTATTTTTTCAATTTAAAAACTAATAAAAAAAACAAAAAAGAGAACATGTTAGAAGACTAAATATATAGACTAAATATATAACTAAATTATGTGTCATCAATATGAATAAATATTTTTATCAAAGCTTAAGTAATAATTCAATCATTAACTTTCATATATTTATTTACAAATTTAATCCATCTACAATTACCCAAAAAAATAACTGTAAGTACGAAAATCGAAGCTCACAAAATTTTTGAGATCATGGTTATTTGGGTGCCACTGTTGGAACTTCTTTACAAAATAAAAAATTTTGAGAGGCAAGTAAGAGATGAAAGCTCTATCGAATTATCCAAAAGAACGCTAGTGAATTCAGGAATCGATCCTGTACAAAGGATCGATATATAAAACACAAAGATATACACGTCATTATCTATGATAATTATTAATATTTATTAATCTTTTTCATATTTATATATGTTACAAGTTACCAACTAAAAAGGAAAATAAAAAGCACCAGCCTAACAAAATTCCACAGCTTATCTCTGTAGATAGATGTTAGCGTAAATTGTAACAATGGTTCTTTAATTTTAACTCAATTGGAACTATGATTCCTCAACTAAAAATTCATTACCATTGGTTCCTCAACTCATCAAAACGTGCAGCTATAGTCCATCAACTAAAAATTCATTTCCATTTGTCTCTCAACTTTAATCGAACTGGTTCCTCAATTCATCAAATCGTGCAGCTATAGTCTCTCAACTAAAAATTCATTTCCATTTGTCTCTCAACTTTAATCGAACTGGAGAAATGATCTCTTAACTTTAACTTAATTCGAGCAATGATCCCTCAACTTTAACCCAATTGTAGCAATAATCCTTCCAACATAACTTGTTTTGACAAAATTCTAACGAAATTAATGAAAATTATCATAGCTACACGTTTTGATGAGTTAAAGAACCTCAATTGTAGCAACGGTCCTTCCAACATAACTCATTTTGACAAAATTTTGATTAAGTTAATGAAAATGATCATAACTACACATTTTGATGAGTTGAAGGATCAATGGTAATGAATTTTTAGTTGAAGGATCATTACTCCAATTTGAGGAACTATTGCTATAATTTACTCTAGATGTTATAGTTCACTTCAGTGCAAGAAAGATACTACACAGTAACACATGAACAGAACATGGTAATTGGTACTTGAACATTTTTTCCCATATTCCCATTCTACCCTTGACATTGCTCACTTTTTACATGATAGAGCAGGCATTAGGGTTCTCATCACTGAAGATCTGAGGTGGGTAGGCATACTGTTCCATGATCTGAGGTGGGTTTGCATACTGTTCCATGATCTGAGGTGGGTAGGCATAGTGTTCCATGGCATACCTTGGTGGGTAAGAATAGTTTTCATTCTTCTTCATCAGCTCCACCACCTTGGTCTCTTCTGCGGCAGCTCCTTCCGGTGCACCACCAGCGGCCGCGGCGGCAGCTTCATTGTTGTCACCTTTATTTTCCTTGTTCTCTTCTGCTTTCGCTTCATCGCCACCACCATCTTTGCCCTTCTTATCTTTGTCACCTACTTCACCACCTTTCTTCTCATCTTTGGCTTTTTCTTTCTCTTTCTTCTCCGGTTCTTGCTTCACGATCGCCGCGTGCTTCCCGGTTCTTTTGTGCACATAATCAACTAGCTTAGGCGGATCAAACACACCCTTCACTGTCACCTCTGAGCTCTTAAGATCTGCCTCAGCAGATTCCACTCCTAAAAAAGTAATACAAAAGAAAAGCACACAAACAAGATTAATTGGAAAATCGCTCGAATAAAATAATTATTTTAAAAACAGAAACTTTTGGAAATAATTTAAAGTTGGGATTGGTGGGATTTGGTCTTGGAAGAGAATTAAATTGACTTTAATTGGACTTGATTTTTGTGAACTCTAGAAATTAATGAATTATATTATTGAAGATGAAGAATGAATTGACATTGAAAGATTGGTCATTATTGATAGAATAATAAACTCTTTTTTTAAAGAGATTCACAAAAAAGAAAATTAATAAAAGTTCAGGACCGTTAATTGCCAACGCATCCATACTCCAAATTTCCCATTTTTTAATTTGTGGAAAGTTAGAAAATGCTTGAACCAAAATCTGAAAAAGGATCAAAGACATAATCGTTTTTTTCTTTTTATTTTTTGGGTTTTGTTCTTATCTCTCTGAGAAAAGAAAACCAAAATAAAAATTTGAGTACACCTTTTATTCTGAGAATGCGTTTCTTGATTTCTTGGGCACAGGCGTCGCAATGCATGTGAACTTTCAGCACCACTGTGATTACCTGGGGCTGCAACAAAACAAAAAATAATTAAACCCATCAAATTGAAAGAAAAAAAAATCAATTAAAATGGCAATGGAAAAAATTCTGCAAAATGATTAAAATATTTGAGTGGACTGAGAACCTCTTCTTTCTTTTCCTCTGGTTTGGGCTTCTCTTTCTCCTCCGCCGGCGGTTTTGGGATTGGAAAGAGAAGCTCCACCTGCCGGTGGCTCTTCCTCTGAACTCTTTCAAGAACCTTAATTGGTTCAGCCTTCTCTCCCTTCACCACCACCTTGTGAGTCTTGCAATCTGTGCTCACATCTTCCACCCCTGAAAATTAAAAAATTAAATCAAACACAAATTAATCCCCCAACCCAATATTCCAATAACGCAAACACAAAAACAAACCTTGAAATCCTTTGAGGCACCGCTTGACCTTGCGAGCACATCCCTCACAATGCATATAAACTTTGAGCACAATTTCTTGGGGTGGCGGCGGAGGCGGAGGAGCGGTGGCGGCATCACCCTCCTTGGCCTCTGCTTTCCCATCTTTTCCCTCCTCGGCTTTCTCCTTCTTTTGCTCGGCAGCCTCAGGCTTCTTCTCCTCCGCCTCTGGCTTCTTCTCCTCCATTTTCTTCTCCTCTGGTTTCTTCTCCTCCTAAACCAACACAAACCCAAATACAAAAACAAACCCAATAAACAAAAGATACAAACTTCGAGAGAAACAAATCATATTAAAAAAAATATATATATATCAAATCAAAAATTGATTATTAAAGTTGTAGGACCTCCCCCATTGGTGTAGTTCAATTGTTAAGTTTTACTCTGTTTTTAAAATCTCTCCTCTCTCTCTCTCTCTCTCTCTCTCTCTCGATCTCTCGAGTGGCATGGGAGCTCAGCTTTCTCTATATTTGCGAGAAATGGGCACTCTCTCTTTTGTGTTTGTTTTTTTTGGTTAAAACTCTCTTTGTGCTTTGTATTAAACTTTGAGTCACATATTTGGGTCCCTCAGATCTGTAGCCAAAAGCCACTCGGTTCTATCTCTCTCATCATCATCCAACTTCTGCAATTTTCTAACCCCATGACGTGGCATTGTTGAGTGCCCATGTGTGCGCAGAAATTAATATTTACTGCACTCTGTGATTAAATTGTTTTGTTTTTTGTTTTTTTGGGGCATTTCTGGAATATTCTACCACTTGTTTCTGCTGTTTTTCTTTTGCTCTTGTTCCTTTCAATGGACTGTACTTGGATGCTTGCTTTGTCATTTTGGCAGCTCTTCATGTGTGGACTTCGAGTTATTAGGGCACTTCTACTATAGGAAGGACCAAGGGCGGAGCTACCATGGGCCTAGAGGGGGCGGATGCCCCCACTGAGATTTTTCTGATGCTGGCATGCTCATCTGTTTCTGCAGCAGCAAAGCCCCCACTGCGATTTTGAGCAGCAGCAAAGCCCCCACTGCAATTTTCTGGTTCCTCCGATCTGGGTCTTTCTAAACCAGGCCAAAGGCAAAACGAACCTCTGCAGAAGCCTGATCTGATTTTTTTTTTTTAATGTAAACGAAACGGCGTCGTTTCGTATATGTTTAAAAAAAAAAAGTTATGTTATAGTATTAGTGGGGGACCAGACTCCCATTTCTTTTTTTTTGTCTCCTAAAAAAGTTATGTTATAGTATTAGTGGGGGACCAGACTCCCATTTCTTTTTTTTTTTACTCCCTTTGTTTTCGTTGCCCTTTGTCAGAGAGCAGCTTGGTGCTGCTCTGTTTGTCTTCTCCAAAGTCCAAACCAATACCTTGAAAGTTGCTCTCCTGTCCAGGTGCTCTCTGGAGCAAAGTTGCTCTTCCCAGCCATGCCAGCAGCCAGCCATTCTCTAGTCTCTAGCCGACAACATATATATATATATTTAGGTAAAATTTTTAATTCCTAAATCTATAATTCCTAACCCTAATTAATTATTTAAGACGAATTTTTGTTTAATTGGTATAGAAATATAGAATCATATGGATATGGTATGCACTAATATGGATGGTTATTGACTTATTGATTATTGATATGATGAATTCTATGATTATTGATGAATGAAATTATGAAATTATGAATTCTATAAATATGGGTATACATTTATTCAAATGATTAGTTGAATTAAATGTTTATTTGTTGAATAATTTGTATGCTTATTGGTATTAGTTAATTGAATTGTTGCCTTGGTTGGATATGGATTAGTTATTAGGCATTTATTTTATTTTTTGGTTAAGAAAGCATATATATTAATATGGATAACATTGTCAACATCTCCAAGAAAACTCAATTCTACGGCTTAACAGTCTAAAAACAAATCCATTTTTCAGAAATGGAATCATAATCATCCCCTTTCGAAACCCAAAAAAGAAGAAGAAATGGATTAGTTATTATTAGGCATATTAGTATAGTATACTCTAGGATTAAGAGTCTAAGAATTTTATTGAGATTTTTATTCTATAAATTCTACAAATTACGTATGAACCTTATATGTTATTGGTATATGACTAACTTTGTAGGCTGAAACATCATGGAGAGGTTTTTCAAAAAAATATCAGTGCCGCCACCATCCCCAATTATTGAGAAAAATAATGATACTCGGGGACATGATAGTGCAGAATTTATTTTATCAAATCTTCCATCAGATCCTGGTAAGAGAATTCGAATTTTGGATTACAATCCTAATATTCGAGATCAAGTACGAAGAGCGTATGTACTAGCTGGTCCTCAACAACCTAAAACCCATAATTTTCCTTACAAGAAATATGGAGACACGCAAAGACGATTCAACCCTGCTTGGTTTGATGATTTTCCTACTTGGTTGGAATATAGTGTAGAAAAAGATGCTGCCTTTTGTCTGTGTTGCTACCTTTTTAAACCAAACATTGGAGAACAAGCAGGTGGTGATTTCTTTGTTGGCGAAGGATTTTCTAACTGGAAGAAGAAAGAAAGACTTCTAACTCATATTGGAGGCGTCAATAGTGCACACAATCAAGCGTGGAGTAATTTTGAAGCTTTAAGGAGTCAAAAGCAACATATCCAGTCTTTTTTCTCTAAAACTCATGATGAAGCTCGAATTCAATATAGAGCTCGGTTGAATGCATCAATTGATTGTTGTCGATTTCTTTTGAGACAAGGGCTTGCATTTCGTGGTAATGATGAATCTGAACATTCAAGCAACCATGGAAACTTTCTTGAGCTTCTACAGTTTATTGCTGACCACAATGAGGATGTGAAAGCCGTTACTTTGAAAAATGCTCCGGAGAATCACAAATTGACATCACCAGATATTCAAAAAGACATTGTAAATGCTTGTGCAACTGAGACGATCAAGGCTATTATTGAAGACGTTGGCACTTCGTTGTTCTCTATTTTGATTGATGAATCTCGTGACGTATCAACGAAGGAACAAATGGCTATTGTATTGCGTTATGTGGACAAGAATGGGCATGTCGTTGAGCGTTTTATTGGCATTGAGCATGTTACTAGTACCGCTGCTCTCTCACTCAAGGAAACCATTGATGGGGTATTTTCTAGGCATAAATTGAGCATGTCTAGGTTGCGTGGGCAAGGTTACGATGGGGCCAGCAATATGCAAGGTGAGTTCAATGGTCTTAAAGCTCTTATTATGAAAGAAAGTGGTTGTGCCTATTATATTCATTGCTTTGCACATCAACTTCAATTAGCTCTTGTAGCTGTGGCAAAGAAGAACATTCAAATTGAGTCTCTTTTTAGTATAGTTACTATTTTGGTAAATGTTGTTGGAGCTTCATCGAAGCGTTGTGATCTTCTTCGGGAGAAGCAATCTATTGCAGTTATTGAAGCACTAAACAGTGGTGAGTTTACAAGTGGGAAAGGCAAAAATCAAGAAACTACTTTGAAACGTGCTGGAGAAACACGTTGGGGTTCACACTTGGGTACTTTAGTAAGTATAATGACTATGTTTTCATCCATACTTGATGTACTTGAAGTAATAGCAGATGATGGAGTAAGCTCTCAACAAAGATGTGAAGCGAATAATTTATTGGATTCCATGCAATCATTTGATTTTGTGTTTAATCTACACTTGATGAAAGATATACTTGGAATAACCAATGAATTGTCACAAGCATTGCAAAGGAAGGATCAAGATATTGTAAATGCTATGAAGTTGGTTGGAGTTTGTAAGCAAAGGTTGGAGATAATGAGGAAAAAAATGGTTGGGATTCTTTACTCAATGAAGTCTCAGAATTTTGTCTTAAACATGATATTGATGTGCCTAATATGGATGATATGTTTCTTTCTCGAAGGCGAGGGCAACGAAAAGCAAAAGCAGTCACAAATATGCATCACTATTGTGTTGGGATATTTTATGTTGTTTTGGATTGGCAGCTTCAAGAACTAAATAATCGTTTCAATGAGACCAACACTGAGTTACTTCTTTGTTTGGCATGTTTATGTCCAGCCGACTCCTTCTCTGCTTTTGATAGCCAAAAGCTATTGCGTCTTGCCCAATTTTTATCCTAAAGACTTCTCTATGAATGAGCTGGTGATACTTAAGATTCAACTTGAGACTTACATTGTGGATATGCGGTCTAGCATTGAGTTTTCAGGTTTAAAAGAGATTGGAGATCTTGCAAAAAAAATGGTTCAATGCAAGAAACACAAGGTGTATTCGCTGGTTTACTTGCTTGTGACATTAGCACTAACTCTTCCAGTTGCTACTGCAACCGTTGAAAGAGCATTTTCGGCCATGAAAATTCTGAAGAATCGATTGAGAAATCGGATGGGAGATCAATGGATGAATGATAACATGGTTATTTTTATAGAGAGAGAGATATTTGATGGTATTGGTAATGATGTTGTCATGCAACGCTTTCAGAACATGAAAACGCGTCGAGGGATATTGTAAAGGACTGTTGTATGAAAAACTTTATGGATTAATATATAAGTATTGTGTTTAGTAAATTCTTAAGCTTTTTAATTATGACTTTGTTGTTTGAGGATGCCCCCATTCACACAAATCTCTGGCTTCGTCCCTGGGAAGGACCCCAGGATAATTGACAATTAAATCTCCTCTATTGAATAATAATCGTTTTTAATAAACAGTAATTGTCTTTTACATCTTCATCTTTAAACTGAATAGTCATGGCAATAGGCAATTAAATATTATTTAAGCAAGGGGAAGAAATGTTCAATCTCCAGGAGGGCGAAAATGAGATGGAAGAGGAAGATGATGAGGAGCGTAAAAGGAGAGATGACGAAGTAAGTAGTCAAAGAGCCTTATATTCCTGTCGAGTCATCCAAGTTGTGGCTGAGATCTTCAGGCCTAGCCATTCCGCAAACATCGATGGAATCAGGCAACGACGACGTAAGGATCTCTTGGACGATTATTTTGTCTGTAACAGTGTATTCCCTAATATGTGCTTTAGAAGTTGTTTTAGAATTCAACGACATTTGTTCGATAAAATCATGATTGTTGTTTGCAACCATGATTCTTACTTTGTGCAAAAGAATGATGCTTTTGGTGTCATGGGTCTCATTCTTAAGCAAAAAATTACTACTGCTTTGCAGATGCTTACATATGGAGCATCTGCAGACCAAGTGGATGAAATAGCGAGGATGGGGAAATCAACCATTCTTGAGTCCCTGATAAGGTTTTGCTCCGCAATCAAATCTATCTACACCAAAGAGTACCTCCGAAGACTTACGACAATATACTTGCAAAGGCTTCTGAAGAAGGGTGAGATGCAAGGTTTTCCTGGTATGATTGGAATCATCAACTGTATGCTTTAGACCTGGAAAAATTGTCCAAGTGCATGGCAAGGAGCTTATGAGGACAGAAAATGAGTAAAAAGTATCATTTTGGAGGCAGTGGCATCATTTGATACATGGATTTGGCATGCTTTTTGACATGTATCATTCTTCACAACATGATTGTGGAAGATGCGTATGA